TGGCGCTTGTATAGGGCTCGGGATTGTATGCAGATGGACGGCGGTAGATAGCGAGCAGTTTTCTTTGGACCGACGGAAGACAGTGTGAAATGAGTGATATAATCATATTATACATTATAATATTACGTAAGTATATCTTTAATCCTACTGGGTGTGTTATTTCTTAGCAAACTCTGACAATGTCTTGTCGTGAGCACATTGTACATGATTTTATTTTTATATTTTCAGAAAATTACCACACTAAAAAAAAAAAATGTCATAGGTACTTATAGAAACATAGAACACTTTTCTTGAATGCCCTAGAAATAAATTAAATATGACTCCTGATGCCCTGAAGTTTGCATCCAAGAACCACTCACATATATGATTTCGACTCTAAAAATATCGATAAACAAAAACCCGCACACTTTATAGGCTCATTTTATAGAAAAATACAGTACACTATTTTTAATCTTTAGAGCTTTGGCAGAAGCACTAAATTTTGTTTTTAATTAAGGTCTTTTTATCATCCAGTTTTTTGGATTCAGCGGCGCGTGGTCTTAGAATACAAGACATTAACGCGTCGGTCCGTTTAAAATAAAACTTACCCTGTACACAACATTTCACCCACGCACATATTACTGCAAAGTGTATACGTAGTTTATAATATTATTGTCATATTGTATATTATCATATTATTATATGACAAGGGGGTCGAAGAGTCACGTCAAATCACGTCTGGAAAATCATCACACAGAGAAACCACAGTTCATCGTATAATATTATGTTCCTAAGTACTTCAAAGCTGTAGCGCATTATATACATAAGCATATTATAGCGATAATATGTTATGTATATGTGTGCCTGAGCGATTTCATTCGGATAACAAAACGAAATCGTCGAGACTAAAATATGTTAACACCGTTCCCGAGAGTACGCGACAGTGTCGTATGGTGACGTAGTGTTGACGTGTTGTAGTACCTAGTATATGGTACAGTGTTGTTACATTTTATTTTTTTTTTGTTAACACTAGTCTTTGAATGCGGTTTAACATCTCTCAGCGCCGTTAAAATATTATATAATGTTATAATATGCAAGGTGATTCACCAAGCAATCTATAATAATACATAATATAATACATCCCTTTTATCCTTTGATAATGCAATGTTGTTCAAATCAGAATTTTTTTTTGGTGTACAATTTACATAAAAACTTATATTGTTTTTAGATACTTAGATCTTTCATACTATTTAAGGACAGTCAAATTTATTTATTTTTTTAACGAGAGATGGGTTTTTAATGTAAATTGTTAGACAGATGATTTTTTGAAAATGTTGAAATAGGTATTTAAATTTTAAATACAAATTTAAACAAATAGTTTTTGAGTTTTCAAACTTCCTATATGACATTTACTGAGTATAATAATTCTTAACCATATCTTTAGATCGATTAAAACTAGATTTGATATTTAGACTAGTAAGTACTTTTTAAGTATTAATTTTCTTACTAACTGTAAAATGCTAATAATATATGATTAACAATTAGCTACTATTATTGTAAAATCCCCATAGCCTCCATGTCTTTAAACCCATTATTGTGGACAGAAACATCTCGTTTGAATTTCCATTAAAAAAATGTGAAATACAATTTACACTTACAGTAAAAAAAGATTCTTGTTCGAAAAAATGAAGTTTGCATCACCACAAGGGATTCCATTAAAATTGGTATAAAAAGTGTAAGTGTTTTAAAATTTGGTCCTTAAATAAACAAAATTTTTTCAAAAATCAGGAATTTTATACTTTATTATTGAAGGAAAAAATTGAGCTGATAGCATTTCAAGTAGGAATCATCCTGTATATATAATATGCATAGATACTTGCTTACGGGTTATTATATCCACGGACAGGGCCACAATAAAAAATATATATAAAAATACTATGTTCAATCATAATGGAGCTTAAATTACGCAAGAACCGATGAGTATAATACAAATATGTCTCCGTTGATCTTCAACGTACGATTTAACAGAACGTTTGCATCATTCTTCTTCACTCTGCGAGCACCGTCGTATTTAACTTGGACCCATGAGAATGACTTCCATGCAACCGAATCAGACAAAAATTTCACACTTGATAATATATATTATATATTATACATTTTTATATAAATATAAACTGTTTACCCCTGAAAAACAGTGTGTAAATTACGACCCATATAATATTATATTATGTTTAAATTATTTCAAGGCTAAATGTAGGCATTGACGAGTCTTAAAATAAAATCAAGTTAAAATTTGAACTGATATTATATGACGCTTTACTATTCAGTTTAGTGATCTATATAAATATTATAATTTATAAAATGTATTGAGTGGTATACTATATATAGCCAAACCAGATATATTATATGAGTGTTTTTTTCAGTATTCACTAAAGTTACCTAACGCTCTTACAGGACAGGCGTATATATTGTAACTCGATTCCTTCCTGTATAAGTAAATCAGAATTTCGAACATTTACCTACAAAATAGAAATAAAAATTATAACAACATATTTTGAGAAAACAAATAGTACTATAGTTTAAGTTAGTTAATCCTATTAAACTTTCAACACAACCCAATTATCGGCATAATATTTAATTGGCTTAAATTATAGTTTTTTAAATTATTTTTATATACTTGAATAGACTAATAAATATGAATAATTAACTGGACCAGCCTTGTATTACTTTTCAATCTCGTATGATGGTGTTAACGTAATAAATTATATTATGTGGGTTATAAGCGACGCATTTAAAAATGTATTATTTTTACTTTACAATTTCACGAAGATCGTTAAAATAACATACAAATTGCAAATTACGTAATAGTTGTACTACAATAGTCATATGGATATTATTTTTACTTTTGTTCATTACCACTACGACTATTCCTGCAGGTAACGAACACCTAACTCTCAGTCCTCGATGACATTCCAGCGAGTTCTTCAAGTGTATGATCAAGGACGTGCGTATATGCGAGTATAATTACTATACTACAGACTATAGAGATAACATTGACGTACTAAGCATACCTGAGCGACAAAGTTCGAAATTATATGAGCCGGGCGTATTATTTTGTAGGTAGGTATCTGCCTACGTATAACATTACACCGTGTTTGGTTTGGCTAAGGTTAATAGTTATAGGGTGAGATAAAATAACAATATTATATTTTACGTGTGGAATCGCATTTTAATGAAGCAACAGCAGTATATCTCTGTAAGAAAAATCCATTAAAATAAAATAAATATCTTTAAGCGCACTTGGAGGGGTTAAAAACATATTCGCCCATCTAATTTAGCCTTAAATAGTGCTCTCAGAGCATATCGATGATACCGTCTTAATAATAACGATAAGGACGAATATTTAACTGTTATCCATGTAGTACGAAATAAAATAATTGAATATGTTATCCTCATGTATTTATAACTAAAACTGTTGTCATAAACATAATTGCAGTTAAAGCGTTAAAACAGTTGTTAATTTGTCACTTATGGCTATAATAATACATTTTCCATACAAATGAATTGCGTCGTCAACAATTGAAAAAATGTAATAAAACATAAATATAACTTCGGACTTTGGGTTGGCACATACATGCCCATTCTATATAATATAATACTTAGATTCATACTAAAAAGTACGATACTTAAAAAAAGTGTTTGATTATATTTTTAACTGTTATATTAATCTTAGTTAGAATGTGAGGTGAGTTAATGCACTATGGACATTTTTTTTACGGGAAATCAGCAATAAATTGAGACAAAGATAATAAAAATATTACAATTTATTACTGCACGCATACATAATATGTCATAATCCTTTTTAGAATGTAGAAATTTTGTAAATAGTCCAGGCTATTGTTAGTCTGTTAAAATTCAAAAATGTTTAGGTATGTTGTATGTATTTAATGGTTAGTGATCTATTTTTTTAATATTATTTATTATGACATATTATTTTCAATTTATAATAACAAGTTTACCACCAAAAAGACCTTGTTGTTATAAATAAATAAAAATTATTAGTTAAAATTATTTTTTCTTTGGATACATTATAAGTAATAGACTTGTTATTTTTTTTTTAGTTAATAATTTAAATAATGATATCATTAAAAAAGTAAAATAATTACAAATTTAAATAGTAATGAAATTTCTTGTTACAATTTAATATAACCATAAATATTATATTGATTGCTGTAATGCGTATTATATTTCACTGTCTATTATTATAAGTAGGTACCGCAGCGGCACCTAAACCACTTTTGTATTAAATAAATTAAAAATGTATATACTATAATCGTTTTATGAAAACCAAATTTCCCAATGAGTCTAACTTCCATCGATTACTAATCCTAATATAATATGAATGCTTACACTCAGCTGGGTCTTTGAGAAAAAAATTTAAAAATTAAAATTTGCTAGGCATTAAAAAAAAAAAAAAAGTAAATACCTAATACTCAAACGGCCTTTATGACATAATATTATATTAAAGGTACTATTGACAACAACGAGTATACGACTTTATACAAACGCTACAAACGTTTCATGCGACTTTGATATTTTGCTGTAGAAAATTATTATGTTGAAGTTATTTTTATAATTCTTACATAGGTACCTATATGTATGATATACTTATTATAATATTATTTCAAATATTGATACTTATAAATAATACAAATTATACAATAATATTGTATTAATATGCACACATATTATATTAATATTAGACGCACACATACACACAAGTGCGCGCGCTCGTTCGATGTCTATTACGCGATGTCAAGAGGACAAGGTGTGTCGATCGAGTGTATAAACCGCATAGTTGAGCAGGACCTCCACGGGAAAAAATGCACACCAAAAATCGAACTGAGAACCGAGCAGCTGACCCTGCGAGATGAGAGAAAAAAACACACCACCAAAACGGCGTCACATTCACCTTGGTACTTTCACAAAACTGATATTATATGAACAGAATCGCGAATCCCAAGAGGTCCATTCGTTCCCGAACCGGTGTTGTGGTTAGGTTACGACGCGCGCCGAACGTTATAGTAAACAAGACGCGTGAGGAGTAGGTATAGTATTATATTGTGCACCGATCTTTTTGCCGAACACTCCGACGACGATCAGCGCCCAATTGCATTAAGGTAGGCAAATCTTATTGCTAAGTCCGAGTGATGTTACGTTTTATTATTGCTATTATAATATTTATGAATGATAAAAAAAAAAAAAAATAGAAAAAATTAATACGAGTAATTTATCGCGTTTAGTGTTACGACTTAACCGTTTAATAATAACGAGTTGGGATAATTTTATAGTACGAGGTACGTATGTAATTTTTGATCAACGTTTACTATATTTTACAATTGAACCAATTCCGTATTTTTTTCTTCTATTTTTTTTTTTTATACTAATTCTAAGACGTTCGAAACCTTACAAGTTACCAAAAAAAATTATTTGTGTTTTCCGATTACGTTTATGAGCTGAATATACAAATAGTACAGGGCTATTTCGTTTATTTAATTCTTTGTAAAAAAATAAAAAATTTGATTAATTATGGCTTATGTACTAATTAACTGTAAAAAGCTTTTAAGAAAGATCTCAATGTGATTCATTCAGTCCTTTTTATCTTTATTATTTTTTATTGGTTTATTTTGTACATCCCTTATAAGCCATTAAAAATATCATTTAATGGTTCATAATAAATCAGTTTTTCTAACTAAGTGGTTTCGAACTTTTTAGTATAAAGAATGTTATGTTAATAAATCACCAGCATAGAGCACAGAAATGTGTAGGAAAAAAATATGATAGTGTATTAAAGGTATATTATTAGGTCCCCATATATAATAATATGATAGATGTAGACTGTTAATATAAAATTACAATTATTGGAATGTGAGCTTTTACGTGAAATATTTTATTATGTTATAAAAAAAATTCGATTAATACATTTAAATTTTAAATCGTTGAGAAAATGGTCATTTTCTAAAAATATGATATTTTGTTGGTCTTATAAATCAGTGTCCTAATGATTGCAGCGAATAAAAATTGATTTTTTTTATTATTGGACTAAAAAATTCTCACGCACTTACATAACATAATAATGATATTATATTATTTAGTTCGATATAACTATAGGATTTAGATTGGTCTAAAGAAAGAAATTGAAATCTTGTCTTATCACTCCTATTATTGAATGTCAATCACATATTATATTGTTATAGTGCATTAGTGAACCTATCACCTATAACCTTTTCTCTAGTCAATTTCTAACGTTACCATAATATGGTTTGAAATGTTATTAAATGAAAGACATGACTATATAAGTGTGTGTAAAGCGATTTCGGAGTCGAGTAAGAGTTGAACGATCATATTATTAAAAAAATTTTTTTTTTCGTGAACTAATAGCAATTAGAACGCATTAATATTGGAAAAATTCTCACAACAATTCTTGGTTTTGATGAATTTAATTGTTAAACGTGCATAATATGATATATATAGGCACTAGTAATTGGTAATAAAAGTAACAGCCGAAGTGTCAGCTGAAGTGTATATTCAAATGATTTATATGACGTTAAAAAAAACTTATGCAAAAATACCTACTTAAAAATTAAAATAAAAACTTTCACACGATTTAAGACTATCAAATAATACCAATCGTCTTTCGATGCTATTTGATATTTTACCCATAAAAATCATCCGAAGTTTTATTACTAAAAAAAATTTCATAGTTTCTATAGATGCCGCATTTTTGAACACTATATAATTATAAAATTTCAGTTTTAATAACACGGCATAGGAAAAATAATATTCTATGTATTTTAATAGGTACTTATACTTATTCACTTGTATATTATTTTAGTTGCACGCACCTACGTAAATAACTCCTTTTTACAACGTATAGGTAATTATTCTTAGAAGATTGAATCTTTACGAAAACTTTAAAGATATAACTATAAAGACTATTTGTATAATTACTTATTAGAAATAGAAAAGTTAAAAATTTAAAAAAAGAAAAATATGAGGGACATTTAAAGATTCTCGCAAACCGTTACGGATTTTGTAATCACCGTTTTAAACGTATAATATAACAAACACGTGCCATAATATAGCTATTATTGCTCACACTTCTATGTAATCATTTATCAAATATTGGGCCATTAAGACGACGAAAAAAATAAGATGTAAATACGTTTTCGAAACTTATAATAAAAACGCGCAGTTTATGGCAGGAAAGAGTAAACGCGTATCGACCAGTAAAATATTATATTATATTATAATATATTATTATGTGCCCAGCAGCCATATTTCACATTTTTGTTATGAACGCGTGCGCGCATACGTACAAAATATACCGTAGGTACAGTCGCGGATGAAGTCATATCGGTGAAAAACTGGACTTTCACTATTTACGTACATTTCGACGTTTTAATAATAATATATTATACTATTTATATACCTACACACATAATATTATACGTACACCACTGAAAATTTGGGACTGCTTGTTAAAGTACGCTCGCATAATACATTATTTCGTGTTCGACGATGGGAACCTCCGAATAATATTGTTGTCGGCGCGTTTACTCGAAATATAATAATATCATGTTGTACCGTACGCTAAACGATGGAAGATGGGGTCACGGGAGGGCATATTCCAGAAGTTTCCTTCAAAATTACCTTTTTTTTTTTACACCGATTCTCTCCAAATTACCCATGGAGCAAGATACACCAGTTTGCCCACATCTGACGTAAAATAGGGGAGGTCAATATATGACGGCACGAGGAAAACTCTCAATACCCTCTCGAACATGTGAATTAATAATAGGTGTAAGTGCGAACCCGTGTACGCATTGTCACATCACACATCGCATCGTATCGTGGTGGACACAATATAATATTATTTACATTATTATAATAACATCGTAATGCGGTCGAAAAAAATTGAATACCCATGTACGAGACGGGTGTATAATTTTGTAACGTAAACAACTATAGGTGCCCATTATAAGTGCGTTTGAATCGAAAATGGTATGCGCCGACTGAGTATAGGTAGGTTTTGTATGGTACTTGATATTATAGGCACTTGTCTTTAATATTATGATCTGACCATGCCTGGTTAGTGGTTAAAATAATACGTACATATGTCATTATTGTTAAAAAGATTTATAACGATCTCTACCGTACCTATATTATAATATAAGGTGATCCATTTATAATGGGTAACTCCATCACTAATTATTTTGAAAAGCATTAACTTTTTTTCAAATAATTCCATGTCTATATAAAACAATTGAGTTTCTGGAAAAGTGTTTCTTATCGTAAAGCCTTTTAAAGCTTTTGCGTTTTTACTTGTAACTCTAATTATTATTTAATTTAACATCCATGCACAGAATATTCGATTTTTAAAAACAGAATTTTGAACGGAAAATAACTTAAAACATTATAACTATAAAAATATTATTTTTAATGGCTTTAAACTATGTAAAAACGATCAACTACTAGTGACTTTCAAACATTAAATACAGTTTAAAAGAGAGAGCAAATTTAGTAAAAAAAAATCATTGTTTTCGAAATATAATTTTCATTACCCATGGTTAATATTATTTTGTAAAAATAAAAATTTTACACAATTAATATAAACCTCATGTAAATGTATTTATTTTTCTACGACTTACTATAAAAACACACTCGGCTTTATTTTGGGTCACGACCCCGAGTTGGGGACCACTGGCATAGATAATCTGAGCTTGGCTATAATATTATACATAATATACGATCGTTGCACCGTATAGGTAACAAACGCCGATATAGGTACGCACCTGTACGTCAATCGACGATCCTTGAATTTCGATCTATATGGCTATATACGATATCGTGTTATGTAGTGCAGTGGTCGCGGGGTCGAGTCAATGTCGTCTGATATCGGGTCAGCAGACACGATTTAATATCGTTCATGTCTCCGCGCGTGGACGACCTTTATTTTTCCATCTACATACTATATGTTACAATCGTGTTTGAAATCGTTTCATGTCCCGAGTTTATGGACTTGTCGTACTAATGCACTCAAAACACGAATTCAGTCGGCGAATATTATAAAATTTCAACAATTAATAAATACGATATACAAACATATCGGACATATTATTATTATGGATGCTCGACAGAATCGTAAAGAGAATCCAAAATGCTCGGTTGGTGGACGTATCATTCCAATTTTTGAAAAGAAAATTAAACGGCATATAGATACGTAAGTCACGATTCCCGTACCATTTCGGGGTTTTCACCGATTCGGCAAATCTATACAATATAGCACGCCAGTTAGCCCCGAAAAACGCGTTGGATGTGTTTATATTAAGTTTTTACATTCGAGGACGTTATCGTATACCTATACCCGTAACACACACACGCGTGCAAATAGCATAATAATTAATATGTATATGTTGTATATAATATTATGGTGGGCTATTATGATTTTGGATTTTGGCCGTCGGGGATTCGCTCCGGTTATTGTTGACGAAATCGCTACTAATCGAATATTGTTATGTTTGTTTATCTAAGCATCTGTGTAGCCATTAGCCTCGGGCGCCGTGGCCTGTGAAATTGCAAAATTAACCTTTCGCTCGTTCGGACAGACCTATATAAAATATATTATTATAGGTAGGTATGTGGCGATGCTGTGTGTGCATATACACAGATATTTAAACAAAAATCCCACACAAAATCCGATCTAATCCGGGCGTATAGTGTTTCATAGTATATCTATATATTGGACACCAAAATATCGTTGAAACGCTAAATAATAATAATAATAATAGTAATAGTATTCAATAACGACGCTATAATAATATATTCTATTGTTTGAGTAGAGATTTAGTTGTCTTTCTTAATCTCGTACCCGTGAGCTCACACAATCACGTATAATCGTATAACGGGTAATAATTTATTAAGATATATTACGTCTATATTATACCACATCGCCGTGAAGACGAGATAATTGAATCGATTATCCGCGAAGAAATTAAAATCAACCATCGTCAAAATGTTCATAATATATTGTTCTACGCTGTCATATCGTGTGCGTGTATTTTATTTCAGTTATTTTATTATATAGATATCGTTCTGACGTCGAATACAATTTATAAAA